TGCTGAACTCTCACACAACAGTGCTTTAGCACCCTCTACGGGTGAGCTAACCCCAAAGCTAAGACAAAGTCACCGCAACAGCAAAATAAAAACCAAACCAAAACAGTAGTACAACACTTGAACTTACCTACTGCATTTGTAACTTCTTAAAAGAAAGAATAGAGGGAAATATCAAGAAAGTATCTAGAACTGTGTTTTCCTGACAAAGAGAATAAAGAATATAGAAAATGCATATCCAGATTTATTCCAATTCACTGTTAATGCTCAAGTTTTTACTACTAATTGCCAATCACGTCTTAAGTACTTCAACAGGGATTCAGTAAGAGTTCTACGAAAGAGTAGTTTTCCAGGTGAGCTAAGTAACAAAAATCAGATTTCCTTTGATAATTAGATGAACACAAACAATGACTTTAAGTTACTTTCAATTTGAACAACAAAATAGATAGCAACCAAAAAAAAAAAAGCATCAGTTCTTGGCCTACCTCTGTATTTTCTACACAGTTTAGATTACAAAATGAAGCTCGTGTACTCAAGCTTTCTTCAGTAAAATCCTTGTGCTTCGCACAGTTGATAGATGGTTTTTCGTTTGAAAGAGGCCAGCCCTAAATTCATTTCGTTCCACAGCAGAACACGTGAGATTAATGAAGACAATAGACCATGAGAGAAATGGTTTTCTATTCAGAAGCGCAGTTTTCCATTAAGAGTAAAGTTCACAAGAGGAGTGAAGCATTCCCGAGATACAAGATATGTCCTGCTTCAAATTCCAGTTCTCACACAGTGGCATTTAATCTGAAGCCGATAGAAGCCTTAAGTAATGCCTGTACATAATGCTGTGTTTCACTTATTTTTGAGATATAGTTACAAGCATTTTTTAAGGGTCTGGAAACAATAGCACTCCATATAACAATACCAAAGCTATTCTTTATATTTCCCCCATAATTAAACCTGGTTTCTTAACCAGGATAGAGAATTAGAGGAGGCACAAAGAGAGAAGTTGAGAAGAAAAGAGGACTTGCCAATCTGTACATGGAATAAAAAACACCCAACATTTCCTCACTCCATTCTTAAGCAGATACACAGTATCTACCTTGTGCTATGAGCCAGTATTCCCTCATTAAAGGTCTTGCTTCCAATGGTACTATTGCAATAGTGTTTCTGAACTTCTATTTGAAAAATAGGCATTGCAATTAAAGAAATACACAAATGGTCTCTAAAACCTACAGTAACCAGGACAACAAAAACAACAAAAAAAATTTCAAAACCCCAAGAGAGCCAGTTAAAGATTTGCCCCCCCCCAGAAAAAGAGAAAACAAACAGAATAACAGCTAAGGGAAACGTCCAGCCCAGAAAGGTATAATTTTGAAAAAATATTATTGGATTGTTGAAATCAAACTGGTCTTAACTACAGTGGGAGCCAAGGACAGGCAGAATGTGCAGAACTTTCTCAAAGGAAATAATGGGGGGGAAAAAAAATCAAAGAGAAAATGTCTAAGAGACCACAAATCTTTTTTTACAAGTTGCTAGAATAATGATTGGTTCTGGAAAGTCTTCAATCTACAGAAGTGTAACAACACCTTGACTTCCAGCCATTGTCAGTTTATTACTGCTTTTGTTACTATACAGAAGGTGGTTTCAGAGTGTGAGAAAAGTCCTGGAAAACACCACATTAAGTACTTAAAATCCTTTCGGAAGCGACAGATGGACAGTAAGGAAAATTAATTACTACTTTTCTAACAATTTCTTTCTGAACCCAGGACAGAAAGTGACAGCATGATTTGGTAGGTTGTTTTCAGACCAGAATAATTTACTGTGGTAATTCAGTAAGACATGTCACATGAACTGATAAATCCAGGACAAAAAAAATGCTCCAGAACTGTCTGGGGTACTTAAGTGTATCAAGTGGCCAAAATCTGGTGTTTAGGTATTTCTATGAACAAATGTCTCATTGAGGGAAATTTTGGCCGCATTGGAAAACAGCCTCACCTTTTCATTTAGTATTCAGTAAGAAATAAATTTTTCTTAGATCATTTAAGCAAACACTAGCATTTTCAAACAGTATGTCAGCTATGCCTGATCAAATGGTGCTTTGACCTTTTGTTTTCCACTGACTCCTGATTAGGAAGGGTCAAGCATCCACCCAGTTGGTACTAGAGAGACACCTATGCAACTACCAGGGCTAGAGCACAATCCACAGAAAGGGGACAGAAACTCTGCTGAAGGCCATGTGCAAGTGCTCATATAGGAAGGTAACAAGCTATAGGGTGTCATCCCCTAGCATCTGCTGAAGAAACCACCCCTGGCACATCAGAGGCCTTCACTCCGGCAGAGCTCCTGAGAGAGGATGCAGCTCTCCAGGTCTCAAGCTGCCAGGAGAGCTTGGGACCTCTCCTAAGGGCTGGGGCGAGCAGAGGACATGTCCTTGTCTAGAGGAGGTGCGCGTTAGTGGAGGAGCTATGTCACCAAGTTAAGGAGCTGCAGGAGGTCAGTGGGCTGCACAGTGTCAGGGAAGATAAAAAGAGATTGATGGCATCCTCACAGCGACCTTGCAGAGATGAAAGCCTGAGCTCCCAGCTGCACAGAAAGAGGGTCTGCAGTCATTGGAGTGGTAAATGGAGACTCACAGGATGGGGAAGACTGGAGTCTTGTGACCTCTGGCAAGAGAAGGCAGGCTCCTCCATCTGCAGCCAGTGCCTCAGTGGCAGACAAGGGGCTGGAATTTCTGAGGAAGCATCAGAGCTGCCTGAACAGCATATCCACACCAAGAAGAAGCAGTCAAAGCAGTAGGAAACTCCCTCCTACAGGGCAGAGAGCCCTCCCCCATCTGCCAATCTCACTTGCTACCTGTGGAGGATTGCTGCTTGTTAAGAAGTTGCAGACAGACTGGCAAGGTTTGTCCTGTGCTTCGATTATTAGCCCTTGCTGTTCAGCCACATGGGAACAAATTGTAAGTGCTGCAAGGGAACTCTTGAGCGTATCAAGAGTCACTATACAGCTCCAGGGGCAAGCTGGCATCTCCACAATTTCACCACTGAAGGAGAAAGGCTCAGAGAGGCTTGAATGCTGGTCAATAACTGCAGGCCAGTAACTGGTTGTGCAGCTGGTGTGACAAGGACTTGGCTTTTACAGCCAAAGGACACTCTTTGGGGATAAAGGACTGCTAGGGAGAGATGGAATCCACCTAAGCAGGGCAAAAGTATCTTTGCCTTCAGGTTGGCCAGCCTGGTGAGGAGAGATTTAGGCCATAAACAACAGGGGTGTGAATAACTACCCACAGACAAGTAGAAATTAATGGACATGGGTGGAAAGCAAGTGGTGAAAGGTGACAGCTACAAGGGAGATCTCAAAATGATAAAAGAGAGGAGAAGAGAGTGTACCACAAGTGTATGTACATAAATGTACACAGCTTAGGAAACAAGCAGGAGAAACTAGAGCTCCACATGCAGTGACATAACTGTGACAGTGTTGGGCTACCTGAGATATCGTGAGACAGCTTGCACAACTGGAATGCTGTTATAGATAGATGGATGCAAGCTGCTCAGGAAAGACAGGCAGGGCAAGATGAGGGAAGAGGGTTGTCTTCCATGTGAGGGAGCAGCTTAGGTGTATGAAACTTAATGGGACAGACAAGAGGTTGGTTGAGATCTTGTGGTTCAGGATCAGAGGAGAGACTAGTAAGGGCAACATCATGGTGAGTTTGTTACAGGTCACGCAATCCAGGTGAGGAAGTAGAATAAAGTCTTTAAACAACTCAAGAAGTTTCTGCATCACAGACCCTGTGTGATGTTAATCTTGGACATCTGCTGGAAAAGCAACATGATGGGACACAAGTAGTCAAGATTTCTTGATACCGGCATTGGATGGACCAGAGCTGACCCACAGTTCAATCTGCTACTTACTAACAAGACAAAATAGTTCTGGATGTGATAATCACTGGCAGCTTTGGCTGTAGTGACCATGAAATGGCAGAGTTCAAGATCCTGGAGAGATTGATAAAGGAGAGTAAGCAGAATACAGACCTTTGACTTCACTCGCCACTTCCTCCTGGTGCCCCTGCACAGTTCAGGCTCAGCCACCTCAGATGCATCATTGGACAGAGCTTTCAGTCCCTCACCTGCAGCTAGAGCACTGAACCTATCCCGTAGTTACAGAAATGCAGGTGGAGAAGGAGCCTTCCTCCTATTGCCAGAAGTCACAAGCTTCCAGCCCTTCCATATCTTAGGACACTATCTTCCTATCCAATAATCACAGACTCTGCCTGCACCTCCTTCAATGTAGTTGTAGGTTTAGGATCCTGTAGCTGCAGAGTCTCTGAGAAGATTTGATCCATTTCCTTTTGTAGTCTCTGATGCTGCACAGTCTGATGACCTCTTCCTGCAGCTCCTTAACTTGGTGACACAGACCCTCCCCCAGCACACACCACCTGCTGGCAAGGAGACCATCTTCCCCTGCCCCAGCAACCTCAGAGGGAGCTCCCAGGCCCCTGTAACTCCAGACCAGGAGAGCTTCATCCTCCTCCAGGAGCCTGGCCTGAGTGCTGCAGACTATGAAGTTAAAACTATGTTTCAGACTTCCTCCAAAATCTCAACGGAAAACAGAAGAGCTGCAGCTGAAGAGAGATACACTGCATCCCAACCAGGTATGAAACTGCACAGACTGTAAGCAATATGACCTCACGGTGCAAAGTAAATAATTAGAATAAGCAATATTATTAGCAAGTTCTATTTGATTCCGAATGCAGAAATTATACTTAAAAAGATTAAGCATTAATGCTCACTATCCTTTCTCTACAGCTACTAATTCAATCTAATTCTCAGGTCTGGTATTTGGGTCTTCCCTGGAACAAGCTTCAGCTACATAGGGGATTACCATTCTCCTACAATAATGGTTTGCAGACAGCATTTTCCTTAGAAAAGCAATTCTGCTGACATCAGTGGAGCTGTTCCTGGCAGAATATGCTTAGATTTTCTGAAAGATCAGAGCCTTAATTAGCAGATCATAATTACACTGTTCATTTTCATTTCAATGTTCAATGAGTTTACTAACTCTTCACTTAATTTTAGAGTTCTATTTTTACTCTATACCTATATTCTATAATTTTTTTTTTTTTTATTTTAGTTCTAGTTTAAACATCATGGTATTTGAAAACTTACAGAAAAATACAGATCTATTTTTGGTTCAAGTAAAAAGCCTCTTTCCTTTCTTGTTACAACTTCAGTGAAAACTTAAGAGTTTCCTCTCATTATCTACCTAAGATTATGAACACACTAGGACAAACTTGGTACCTTCCTGTTTATTTAGATGGTATCCATGACTCAAGGTCACTATGGCACACCAAGAAACCAATTATTGTTAAAATTCCAGATAATTTAAATGGATGTCTAAAGCTGGTTTTGCCAGACAGTTTTGAAAAAGTGAAAAAAGCTAGTTTTTATGGTTTTCTATTTACATATTTTCAAGGTTTACGCTAGGTTGGTCTCAAAGAAACAAAAGACTAGAAGAAATCTCCTGCATCACCAAGTCTAAAGGGACTCAATGATGTGATGCTTGCTAATCACAAGACAATCCAGGCTCAAGAAGCTAAAACAGTCACTGGTAGCTTTCTTTCCTATTATGATACAGGAAATAAAGAGATATAAAATCTCTTCAGCATTAAAAATACAAAATACTTTCTGGAGAGCTGATGCTATCTATACTGAGCTAACAAACATTGCAGCTGTCAAAATGTTTTCTTTAAAACTCTATGGCAGAAATAGAAAGAAACAAAATCTGATGAACAGTATTTATGAAAACTAAGTAAATGAAACAATGTCAGTCTGATTCCCCAACCTCTCAGAAAAAAGAAAAAAAAGGAAGATACTTTTAATAGACCATAACAGAACAAAAATAGAATCAACAGCAATTAGTTCAATAAGCTGAACTAATTGAATTCAACAAAAGCCTATGCATCAGTATTAGATTATCTGTTTTACAGTGCAAGCACATAATCACACCAGTGAAAAGTGAAGGTTACGCACATGTTTTATTATCTTAAGGCATATATCCTATTTGCATTCAGACTCCAGAAACAATACTTCCTATCTGTGTTATTAGGTGTCTTTTAAGAAGGTAGAATAAGCTAAAGAAAGATTTATTTGGTGATTCTGCTGCAAGAAACAGTAAAGCCAAGAACACAGGTGTTTTGTGTTACAGTAACAACTAGAACAAAAACAATAGGTGCAGCACAATCTCTGCCTTATACATATAGTAAGTACAAAGAATAATCAAAAATATGTTCAACATTAAACCTTCTTCTGTTTTTCCCCAAACAACATGCTTTTCTTACCCTTCTCCTCTTTTGCCATCTTTGAAACCCAATGGAGTGATTAGTTTAGGAAAAGTACCAATACCGTGCTGAACTTGATAACTCTTTACATGATAAGTTGAGTAAAGGTACAAAGTTAAATAGACTCACCATTTCAGTGGTGTACCTTCATATTCAAACCATATTTCACTAACTTCCTCTTGTCTCATAACTTTCTGAAAGTGTTTCTTCACTTTATCTGTTACCAGTGTCAAGTAGCTTATCCTTGGCAAAAGCAACTGAAAGAAAAAAAATATAGAAGCTTTAATTATACATAAAATTTACTAAATTAATAAAAATCTCTAACAACTATGTATTTTCGTAACCAAAATTCAGTCAACATTCTTTTTTCCCCCCTTTAAGGTAAGATGTCTTTTAGACAATTTACTTGTTAATGGTCAATGAAAGGCTATAAAATTATGTACTCAGAAGATGCAGAATAGCAGTATCCAAAACATTAACACACAAAAAAAAAGTAAAAAAAAGAGTTCTTGATTCTTTCGATGTGGTGGGAGGGAGAAGAGTGGAATTTAATTTCTGCTTTTCTGTATTTAAGCAGGCCAAAGAATGAAGTTTTTAACCTTTTTCATATGAAGAGATAGGAACATGTTCTAACTTCTCATTGAATATAATGAGCAACTGTGTATCAGCTATTATTTCAAAATGGAAATTCCTACAAAATTAAAAAAAAAATAAAAATGAATGAAACCTATCTGCTTAAGGGTTTGGTTTCCAAGTGCGTTTTTATTTCCAATAGCTGGCAATTTCCATTTTCTTTGCACTAGGTTTGCCAATTCAACATGTTAGTCAAGGCTACTATGATTCTTCCACTACTTAACCTTTGCCCAGCTACTAAAATCAGAAAGAAAACTGTCAATATTTTATCAGCTGAAACAAGACACCTTCTTATAACTTTCTGGCATACTATCTTTTTTTCCCTCAAGTGTAATGTTATGCACTATCCAAAACAGAATGTTGTGTTATTTTTATTTGCAAACCCCTCCACCTTTTTTTTTTTTTAAAGTCTCGTGCCTAGTAAGAGTGATTAGGTAGAATGCATCAATCAGTGTAGTGACTGATGACTGTATAGCACATTTACTTAAGATGAATCAGTCCATAAGCTTTCAGTATCCCAATGAGAAAAGATTAACCTCCCTGCAAAATAACATTTAGCTTTGGAGCAGACATTTTAAATGAATCGTATTCATCCTGTAAAGTTATTTTCATTTCCTAATTATTAATAAAATAGATGAGTCTAAGGAATAAATAGAAATAAATAATATTTTGCATATTTAGAGAAAGAGAAACATTCATTTTCCAGTGTTCCTCATAACTGTTATTGTTTCTTAAAGTAGTTTCTTTAAAATATACGGATAATGCTAGGCCTTAAGTGAATGTCTATGGTACAGACATCCCAAACTATGTAAGGATATAGTTTGCCTGACAGAAAACTTGATCTCTGCTGCAACATTCTTCCAGAATCTGTCCAACAATTAGACCACACTTTGATATATAAATTAGATAATATTTTGGCCATACTACTAGAATTTATTTATAAATATCAGATTCACAAAGAAAAAGTAGGGAGAGTAAATCAAGAGTAAGTTCTTATGAAAGAGAATGGATTTGTCTTTTAGATAATGCTGCATTAGGTTACTAATCTGCATACATCTGTGAAACAACTAAATTTCAGGATTATATAGAACTACAAAAGATCAAGACTCACCACTATCATAGTCATCAAGTCGGTTAACGCTTGATCTGTTATATACTATATGGTTTTCTCTTTCCATCTGTTGCTCTTATCACCATCATGACATTGTTTCTACCTTCTTTCATAGTAGTCTAATTCAGCAAGGTAATTAAACACAGCATTCAGTTTTAAAAGGTGAACAATCTCAATAAATTCAATGAAGTCACGTACACACTCAAGTGAGAATTATTTGGTACCCCAATGACTTGAATGACAATATAATCTTACCCTTTATTAACCTAATTCCACATATCTACACTGATTGTTCTTGAGACAATATAGTCCAGGCTATTCCAACCAAACCCAAATATTTTTGGTAATAATTCCGTATTATTTCTGTGTGATATTTACAGTTAAATTAATGCTGGTATATTCTGATATGAAACCCATCTGGACTGCTACAAAAGCCAATTTTCAGCATGCTGCATGTGGCACAGCCATGCAGGAATTGATAAATACATTAAAGCATTATTGATTGCAACAGTCTTTGACATAACCCTTTAAACTGCATAACTAACTTCCTCTGTAAAATATTTTACTTCAGTTTGTAGTGTGGAAGAACAACGCAGTTTCTATTTCAACACAATTAGAGATCAGACTATAACCAAACAGCATTTAACTGAATTTAACAGAATGTGGCCAGCACTTCCAATGGGCCTCTTTGGGAGTACAAAACCCAACAGTTAATCAGAGGGACTGCCTGTTTTTGACATGCCGAGCATTTGCAGCACCTACTGAACCCTTTTTTTGGTCTTCCCTTTCCATGGGAGACATGAAAGGATCCAATTCTATCTCTTTTCTAGCTTTAATTATCCTAGAAATTTACAAGTATGCTAAATCTGTTAAGTGAGACCTTTAAAAGCATAGTTTAAAGACATTTTCATTTTGTTACCTCTTTTAATATCCCTTCTCCACCAGTTGTCTACACTCAGTGAAAGACACCAGTTGACACAAAACATTTTTACTCCAAAAATCCTGTGATTTTTAAATGCTATCACTGAGTACTTCCAGAGGAAAGGTGCTAAAAAATATTTAGAAAAAAACACTTAATGTATTTAACTATATGCTGGGCTTTAGTCAATCTCTCTGACTGCAGAATCACGTTAATTGTTTTATAGAGGCCTCTATATGAAAAGCGGAATTCTACACAGCAGGTCACCTTCTAGACTATTAAACACTCACAAGCTTCTCCAACACTTCAGCCACGTGGCCAGGAGCCTTCCTTTTAGGCAAAGCCATGTTCACCAGAATGCCACCCCTCCCACAAACTCTTTTGCTACTGACTCCTAAACCAGCCCGTGCAGGCCAATGAGGCTATACCCTTTCAGCCTTTGGTTACCCTACAGCAATACTTCTAGATGCCGGGAATGAAAGGTCATGATTCGGCGGTAAGAGTAATCCTTGGTTTAGGGCTGTAAAACCTAATTAAGAAAAAAACACACGATCATATGAAAAGACATACTAATCCAAGCTAAACTCATTCCACTAGGTCAGATTCACTCAATTGCCTTTTTTCTTTTTTTTTTTTTTTTGGACGAACAACCTTTTATCAGCAGACTTTGTGCTAAAGGTTAGAACAATGCTATGAAAATCAAACACATCCAGCAATTCAAGTAATGTAACAACTGCAACCTGAATGTAGGACTGATAAATCTCTACGTAACATGCTAAGAGACAGAATGCCCATCATAAATTAAACGACCTACAGTACTGCATGGGCAAACATGCAGACAAGGTAGTATCAAAGTTTTTAATGAACAGACTGAGTGCATATTTAGCATAGATTCAATAGTTACCAGTTTAAATAGTGTATGAGAGAAAATAACTAACAGGAAAGTGCATGATATAACACATAAGGAATTAAACAGAAGAGAATCCCAGTTTTGATTCAAGTTGTCTGGCAACTGACTCTGCCATGCTGCCCACTGGTCAATGGCAGACTAGCATAATGCTTGCCGCTCGCTGTGCTGCCTAACAAAGAAACCTGAATGAAAAACCCCACTTGCAGTTGAGTTTTGTAGCTCAGAAGGAGCCACATCTGTCTTGTCCCCTAGAAAGGACGGATCTGTAAGAAGATTCAAGAGAAGTCTAAAGCAGTCAGTGGATGAATTGCTTTTAAGTGTCAAGGCCGAGTAAGGATTCCTGCAATGTTAAGTGAGGCTGCGTGCCTTTCCCTCCAGCAACCAGTTGTATAAGTTTTCTCCCACTCGGTATAAAAACAAAAAGCTGGCATAAACTCCCTCAGAGTAGTCAGAGTATATGGTATAAAGCCAAGTAGATGTTCATGACCTGTTGGGATCAGACTGACCATTGCAAGAGTAACAAAGACAAGATAAACAAATTGCTCAGTACTAACAATTAAAAAAAATACCATTTGAGAACATGAAAAAAGCCTAAAATTCATATTCACATCTCAATTCTTAAGTCAATGGCCAAATTCAAAGTAATTATTTAATCCTTTTAAAATAAACAGGTACTAGTTCTTGATTTAAAACGAGACACAACAATAATCAGCTGCTTTTGATACAATTTCTAGCCCTAGCTTTGAAAGAAATTGTGAAAAAACATGCACACAATTCATACAGGCTCAGTTTAAACCAAAATAGCTATACAAAACTGGGGGGGGAGAGGGGGGGAACAAATAAGATTAGTGGTTCTCCTCACTAAATTAAGAAAACAAAAATAAATCTCCAAATACATTACCAGGCAGAATAAATCCTAGTAGGCTAGAACATGCCATCCCCAAAATTGCACAAACACCACCTTCCTTTTGCATATTGTATATTGCTACAGTATTTAATCATAATAACCAGGAACGCTTTCTGTAGAGGTCAAATGAAATGCAAGGAACTCCTAAGGCCTAAGTAAATGCTTGCAATATATCTTTGTGTAAAAAGAGTACCTCTGCAGCTATCTCCACAGGTTTTATTGCAGAGCAAAACACCATTTTACATGCAAAACAGATTATAAAACAGAAAAATTCTAGATTTAACAGGAACTGGACTGGTCTGATCACCAATGCATCCAGGATGAAGAAACAAAGCATCCTAACACGGAATGGCTTCATGTTGCTCACTGTTACAGACATCTTAATACAACAACCCTTTTGACACTGAGGAAGCTTAAAGAGTGGCCCAGTAAAGGCTAGTCCCATGGGCAGAGTATCATTCTAAGGCTGCCTTCTGCTGTAATTTTGTTCTTTGCACCTGACAGGTCCCAGCCAATGAGTACTCTGCTTCCTGTACACATTTTATTTCTAACTGTTGTTTGCACCAAGAGACAGACAGTACACCATTTAAAAATAAAAATCGTAACAATTTTAGGACTAGGGAAAAATCAGATAGTTCAGCAACAAAGGTAGTTCAACCTAGCTATTCCTAATTACGCTTCCACTCCAAACACAAGCATTTGTAGGAAACGCTCCAAGGAAACTGATGTATCTGTTTCCAGTGTAACTCTGCAGAAACCTACCTGGCTTGACTACAGGAAGAAATAGGACGGTGTTTCATCTGAGCTGCTTAGTCTTGATGTCACTACTCTTTCCAAAAGATAGACAAGCTCATTTTAAATTAGCTCTGCTAGCCCCATGCAGTGCCATACTGCGATACACGCATGCATCACTCCTGTGCGGTGCTAATACATCTAACAGACAAGGGTCTCCTGCCACACCACTCACAAACTGAAATCCATCACACAGATTCCGGGTTGTTTTTCTAACCCCTCACCCTCCAGGTCTATGTCTTCCTCCATCTTCATAAAGCAAGTTCCTCAGAGCAGAAGCTTTTTTCCCCTCTTAACATAATGATGCCAGTATTTCCTTCCCATGCAGCCTTCCCATTTATGGAAGGCAGTCTGGAATACAGAGGTATATAACTATATTAAAAAGTACTATTAAAAAGCACTATTAAAAAGCACTATTAAAATATATTATATATACTATTAAAAAGCTATATTAAAAAGTACTGAGATGTGGCAAGAGGAGATGTGTAAAGCTGAACAGCTGGTGTCAAGTGCTGGGAATGTTCACTACATATACTTTTTTTTTACTGCAGTTTTGGGAGGTTTGATGTTTTTTACTTCAATTTAGCTCCAGTTTGATCCCATATGCTAAATGCCCATTAGCAGCTGAAGCACATTTTCTGCTTCAGCTTCACGTGAAAATGAGTCAGCTTGTGGGCTGTAAGACTGCTAGGTGATGCAAACCTGGGCACAGTTAAGTGGAAAGGATGAAGACTTGCTTCAAAAATGCACTCCAGATCTGAACAAAAACATTAACGTAGATGCAGTCTGAAATCATGAGAACTAAACCATGAGTTAAAACCTTGATTGCTCTTCTACCTTTTACTATTATAAATCCTTGGTCCCTTCAAGAAGCAAGGCTATATTATCAGCTCCAACATGACCTGAAAAAGGAAGAAGCTAGAATTTTAGAACTGTGATCTGTGAATAACCACATTTTGCAGAAATAGAGAATTAAGCTTTGAGAATTTTTGTGCACGCTTTAAGTGGAGTAAATAAAAGAAACTCTACCAGCTTAAAACTATCTCCTTGACTTAGAAAATTGCCCACACCACAAAGATAACATGGTTTCGGGGTTTCCATGCTGATCTTACGTTAAGATGTTAACATCAACATCTGATGTTAAACAGATCAAGACTGCACGTCTTTATACTTAAACTCATACCTTTCATGTAACATTTATACAATATATACATATATATTTTAAATCATATTTATATCAAAAAATATATATAGAACTTAAAGTCTGAGACTTCTAGATAGCTCAAATGCATTTGGCAATAGGTCAACTGCATGAAGTAAAAATGCTTCTGTTTTACCAGTGGTGAAACTAAACCATAGAAAGATAAGCACTATCATTACCAAACAAAAAGCATTAATGTTCTATTAGGTTTCAAAAACCCACTGAACACACATGTAAATCAGAAACTGATGACATGAAGATGCTATTAAACACAGAAGAAAAAAATTTCTACCCAGTCGTATTTTCAAAAAGAGTAGAATGGGATATGACAAGATTTAAGGATTTCAGAATCACGTGAAAACTCATAGTACAAGATTTTCCTCCCACATGCTTGTCACATTTCAAATTTAAGTTTCACTGAATCAGATAACATTCTCTATCAATCAAATGCCTATTAGGTGCTGAAAGGATGAAAACTGCCGAGCACACTATAAATAAATACCACACGATTATAGAAGGCCCTTCCAGTTTACAACTCAAACATATCCATCTTACCCTCATTTTTATCATCTAGCAATCCAGTTCAGGCACTGTACTGTTAAGACATTATAGGTGCTTGTCCTACATCCGAGCTAGATCTCTCATGGCTGCTAGCATTTAAAGAAAAGAAAACGAGCAGAAAAAGTCCATGAGCAGAAAAGTCCATGAGCCAGTGTTCATTATGAGTTTGTGTTATGCACATAACTGATCTTAGTGTTTAAGATTGCACAAAGCTCTGACTGAAGTTATTTCTGCAGCAAGGTAACATACAAGTTCTCTCCCTTCTTCTGGTCATTATCCAAGAACATACAAACTCACCATGAGCACATGTAAAGCCGCCTCCTTTTAGCTAATTACTTGTTGACTTTTTCATAATTTTTTTTAAGATCTTAATTATCTGTGATAATTTTATCTCACTGGTGAAACAAGCTTAAAGTTTTGAACCTGCTGTGAAGAGAGGCGAATCACACACAGCGGTCATACGGTCTACTTTCAGAACGTACCAGGAATAAGAAGAAACAAGCTGGGGGTTTTCTTCCACAACGTGTAGTAGCACGCATGATGGGAATGAAGGAAACAAACGTAACTATGGCATTGGACTATCTGTGACTACCTTCGTTATACTCACATAGTAGGGTTCAGCTTCCCTTTCAGTTATCTCATCCTGATACAGAGTGAAACAAGTTGGTATTCGTCCAAACCACACATCTCGAAGCACATCTTTGTCATCTGTCATTCTTCCAATGGATAGTGAAGCACATGTAGATCGGTTTGTTTCTTCAGCTAGAACTGTAACCCTGTTCCCCCCAAACGAAACAAGTCAGCACGACTGCAAATAAAATACATCTTGTTAAAGGTTCTCCCGTAACTACGCTCCTGCAAGCATCATCAACACTGTCACCAAGACACTAAATGCATCGGTTTGTACAAAGAACGGGATGAGTTAAGGCCTCCGAGTTAACACTTCCCCAACACCGAACACACGGTGGATGACGAGTAAACGAGCATTTTCTAAGCCTGCATCGCGCCCCGACCGTAGAGGCAAAGGGACCTCTCCCATTACCGCCCTGCAGTCATCCCGCAGCTCCCACACGCCCCTGA